AAAAAAAAAAAAAAAAAAAAAAATTCTTGAACCTTACTATTTTATTTTCAATTTTCAATTTTCAATTTAATATTTATTTATTCAAATTATTTTCTTGTGGTTGGTGTTCCAGGAATAACCCCTGCACAACTGGCACTAGCATTCTGCAAATCGCGATGGTTCATGGGTTCGACTATATTTGGGGCAACGTCTGCCGAACAGCTCAAGGAGGACATTGGTGAGATTCAGTTATAAAAAAACTTCTTTTTTTTAATGATTTAAAAATAATAAAAAAATAACGAACAATTTATTAGGTGAACTTATATAATAATATATTAATATTAGCCAAAAAATGTAGAAACCAGGTCTTCAACTTGTTACAGCTTGAAGTATGAACTCAATGCTTTTTGTTCTCTCCCTGCACCCCCTCCCCCTCCGCCGAGTTCGGGCCTTGCCGAACCACCCGCCGAAGGCCGACATTCGAAGTGTATCTGAGCCTCACCATGGTCCCAATACATTCGAAATGTTGGCATTTGGCAAGTGGTGTGGTGGGGCCCTTATCCTCCTTCAAGCACTCTTCTTCTCTTTTGCCTCGACCCTCGGCTATGGCCCTCACCACCCACCCTACTGACCACCTGTACAGAATGGACCATGGGTCTTCCGCTAAAGCGTGGAGAAAAATACACCAACTCAACCCCCAGAGTTTGTCTTTTTCACATTCGGTGAGTCTTTCTTTTCTTTTTTTTCTTTTTTTTTCCCCTCTTTTTTTTTTCATTTTACGGAGAGAACATCCGGTTACTTATCCCCAGCAAGCATAAAGGAATACACAGTAGCAAGGAGAGAAAGACCGCAGCGAGGTTCGCTTGCGCTCTCACTTTGCGATTGTCAATCGTTGAGCATTGTGGATCTTCATGGTCGGATCTTCATGGGTCTTCGGTTTATCTGCAGATCTGTCAGCCCTGTTCGTAGTCTACTAGCCGCCACAGCTGGCTTGCTTCTTTACCACTTTGTCTTTTTTTTTTTTTTTTTTTTTTTTTTTTTTTGGTGTGTGTGTGTGTGTGTGTGTGTGTGTGTGTGTGTGTGTGTGTGTCTTGTAACAACTGAACACTTTACCACTTTGGTTTTATAACTGATAGACTGGGACACCCTGAGGGTATAAATACTATAAAACGAACATAGTGGTAGAACCCTGTAGACTGGGACACCCTGAGGCCTGTAGACTGGGACACCCTGAGGCCGGGAGGGTTTTTTTTTTTTTTTTGGTGTCTTGTAACAACTGAACACTTTACCACTTTGGTTTTATAACTGATAGACTGGGACACCCTGAGGGTATAAATACTATAAAACGAACATAGTCGTAGAACCCTGTAGACTGGGACACCCTGAGGCCGGGAGGGGTTGAGTTCCATCCAAATAATAGGGGGGTTCTACCCCACCCACTCTGTGTGCTTGAGAGCGCCGCCATACTAGGTGCCACTGGTATTCCAATCCTTTCGTAGTCCGTTGCGCATCGACCCTCACCTCCCTCCCTCCCTCTTACTCTAGGGTGAAGGGCACTACTGTCTCTGCCCCTTCCAGGAAAAAAAAGCTTTCCATTACCACTAAGATCCCAGGGCCCTGTCTCTCCATTTCTGCACTTTTACACCGGAGCTCAAATCGACACCCAAGATTTTCCAAAATCTGTCCCAGAATCTGTGTCCCCGTTTCCCGAATCTTCCACCCCGCTGCCCACATCGAATTCCCTTTTCCTTGCGCAGGGCTATGAGCCTATGATGATCCATTGTTGCGGTATAGCTCCTTTTATTCTTTTTTCACAGTAAATGTTTTTTTTTTTTTTTTTTTTTTTT